ACATATAAATCTGGATTTTCTGTGGGAAATAACAAACCATACCACTGCTAACAATGTAAGTGTTAATATGTTAAATAATACACCATCCTAATTGATTATTTGTCGTTTTAAATAAGACAAGATGATATATTTCTGTGTAATTTATATTTTCTATGTTGCGATTATTGAAGTGTTCATTCCGCCATCTTGATTGTTGTGAAGAAACGAAGGCTAGCTAGAAATTTAGTCTAGATTTAGAGATCTAGTCAAAGTCTAGATCTAGGACTGCTTGTCTCGTCAAGATTCTAAAGCTAGAGCGTCTAGATTCTAGATCTAAACTAGGATCTAGATCTACGTTTTCTTAGACATCAAATAGCACTAGATCTAGTCTAGATCTAGAATCAGATCTAGATCTAGAATCTAGATCTACATTTTCTTTTTTTCTAGGTAGACATTCAGGGTAGTTAGGTAAAACTCCATTTTAGCGTATTTTATTTCTCCGCTGCTTGTTTACCTCCAGTTGAGCGTATTTTATTATAACAACCGAAACACACCAAAACATTAGGAAAACACGATCTTTTAGATTTTGATAATTTAGTTTTGTTAAAACTTGAGAAAAATCAAAATTTAGAATATTGAATGTGCAATGTTCGTGTGTCAGAATTTTCATGGCATTGGGTGAAGTACGTGTAAACGTAACTCACAATTGCAAGGCGGTTAAGTTTGTATTGTTACAAGTATCTCCCAGGCATGATACTATAAATAAACATTAATGAACTTACAATGACCCCAAAACTGAGGCCAACACAATTTCAAACAGCTATTGCCCGAGCTATGACGTATGCTGATAATTTTTAATTAAAGTCAATGTGAACTCACGGTGAACCCGCGACCGTGTAAGGATTTTTCTCCCGCTGACGATCACACGATATTTAATTGGAACAGTTCTAATGCTTTTTTGTTTCTTTACCTTTTCTAATAAAAAATCGCATTCATAAAAAAAAATAAGTAGATCGGTGTTTTCCTAACGTTTTTGTGTGTTTCGGTTGTGTTTATAATAAAATACGCTGAACTGGAGGTGAACGTCAAGCGGGGAATAAAATAAGCTAAAATGGAGTTTTACCGACATTCAGATAAGCTGCCAGATAGAGCTAAGCCTTAGGTACATATTTTGGTAATCTATCGTTTTAGGTGCGTAAAATCAACCAAGGCTAGATCTAGTAATGTGCGAAAAAGTTGCCTCGGTAAAACTTTAGTTTAGTGTCTGTTTTTATTCCGGAATGGTATAGCAGTAAAAAACAGTAAAACAATGGCAAAGTCTGTCACAGTTCCGGAAGTACTGTAAACCATACTTTATTTGCCGTTATCTTTTATTTTTAATACAGAACATTCAAAATTTGGATAGGCCTATTTATTTTAATTGCGTGTTAAAAAGGCCTATTGCTTTATTAATCATTATGAATAGGCCTAGCTAGTTATTTTTAAGTGTTTCAGCTTAATATTTCTGCTACTAACCCTAAACATAGTTTAACAGAGTTCGAACGCAGTTTGGAAAAAATCTTGAATTTTGAAAAGTGAATTTCAGACTTTAATTGCAGAAGAAACCCGATTTCTCAGTTACTATGACGTGGGGGGGGGGGGGGGGGGGTGAGTGTTAGCCCTGTCTTTTTTGTTGTTGTTGCAAGACTGACAGTGTAAAGGTGTTACTAGTATTTAAAATTGTTATTAAATGAAAGAATTATCGGCCATAAAAAATCTTAGATATCTAAATATCTCCAAATTGTTTTTGAAATCTTTTGCAAAGAAAAACGATTAGGGCTAGACTAACCCGCCCCTCCTAGTAACTAAGGTCACTGATATCTAAACTTGTATGAACTCACCGTGACCCCAAGTACGTATTTGGTGCTGTTTGGCTAGGGGAGGGGGGAATAAAAGTTACAGTACAGTTTATGATATGGCGTATTATATTGGGCTACTGTGACCTTACAGTGACAGTGACACCTCCACAGTCTCTTGCTGTGTGTGTGGGGTGGGGGGAATACCGGTAGTTTTTAATAGCAGACAAAAGTTGCTCAGCTATAAGTCACTTTTACTATTTTTGTAATAATTTTTACTATTTTGGTAATTTAGATTTTTTTACTTGGCCTGGCAGCTATCTAGATCTAATTAATTAATGGTCGCAAATCTGCTGCAAGCCAAAAACATTAAATTATTACATTTGACTTTATTATTTATATTTATATATATTTTTTAAAAATTTTAGATCTACTAATTTAAATCTACTATTATATTTACTCCTGTTTCCTTTTGTCGATTAAACTTCAAAAATTAAAACATTAATTTAACTTTAACTTTATTTATATTTCAATGGTCAAATAAAATAAGGTTTATCGTAACTTTAGTTACCGAAACTCAACAAACATTACCCGATAAATTCCGACGCTCAACTAAGGTTTTAATAAATAAAGGCTTTAATAGAAGTATATTGATATATTTGTATAAAATATTATAAAAAACTGAATAATAAACCAAAATCAATGGCTAAATATACCAATAGGCCTGTAGGCCAGTAATTAGCTTTAAACAGCAGTGTTTGCGAGCAAGATTTGCTAGAGTTAAGTTATACAGCCGATCATACATAGCAAAAAATTCCAAACTCGTGATTTTCATCGGGCGCTATTTTGTAACCGTTTCACACAGAAACTAACCGAAAGTGCTATGTTACAAGCTGCCATTTTACTTTAATATGTAAGAGTTATTTTGTATTCCTACTCATAGAATTTGAGATATTCGTGTTTTAGTGGCATCACTACTTGCAATAGTTTTTCCCCTTTCTTTTTTTTCCTGCGTAACAATTGCATTTTATACGTTTTAATCCAATTTTAATAACTAAAATCACTATTTTACACTTTTAAACGTGTTCTTGATTGTATTATTAATTAATAATTGCAAAATAAAAAAGTCTTTCGTTAAATTTATTAACTATAGCAATTAACATAATAATCATAACACAAGGGACGTAACAATCACTAACAAGACATAACACGTAACAATCACTAACAAGACATAACACGTAACAATCACTAACAAGACATAACACGTAACAATCACTAACAAGACATAACATTTGCTCAGACATGCTTGTATGTAGAGGCACAAACTAGATCTAGAAGAAGTAGATGTTCGAAATAATTTAAAACAACTAATTTAGAAACTATATATATATATATATATATAGATTCTAGACTTGGTTGTATCTGATGAAAACATCACTAATCTTTATTACTGAAAAGTTTTCTTAAGATAGTTTAAAAAGAGGTACATTCCTAAAACTTGAAACATTTTTGTAACTTTCAATACATAAATCCTCCTAAAATGTGAAATAATTACTAAAATTTAATGTGTCACCCTTTCTTTCACATTACTAGCTTCGGACAATTTTACGTACCTAAAATGATAGATTACCCATTTTTTTATAGACCATACTCGCCATACTGAAGGCATACTATCTTCTTGACTCTAGTCACACTCTTGTGACTTGTCCCATTGTCATTTTTTAATCGTCCTTCACGAGCTACTGATAGTGTTTTAAAGCAAACTAGCTGACCTGTGGCGTAGCATAAGTCTCTATTTAGTTTTAAAAAAAGTTTTGGGATTGAAATTTGAGATAAGTGGCACCCCAAAAAATGTCTGCTTTTGTGTGGTTTAATTCAATTTAATTTGGCAATGGTCATACACGTTGAAATCTGTATGAAAAAAATAGCAGGGAATTTTCTGGTAAAAAAAAATGTGGGAACCCTGTATGTTCTTCTCTGAAGAGTATTTCTATGCTTTCATTTTCATTCTATCTAGTAATTTAAAAAATAAGATGCCTCAAACCGGAAACAAGTCTTCATTTTAGGTCAATTGTGTTCATTACTTGTAGCGTTTATCTAGTGATAAATTTTAGATTTATTTTATGCGCTCAGCAAGAATTTTAACAGATAAATGAAATCTCTTGTAGCGAGCAAGAATTTTAACAGATTAATGAAATCTCTTGTAGCATCTATGGAAATAACGCACTTATTTTCTCTCAATCGCAAGAAGATAAAAGCACCATGCATACTAGTTGGCCACAATAAGCCCTACCTCAAATAACACAGAAAGTTCCTGACTATTATTTATATTAAAGTATAGCTGATACTTTATATAAACATTTACAGATGCCTAGAGGAAGACGGAAACGATCTTACAGCAAGGGCAGTGAATGTCAAGATGAAGAGTACAGGCGACATAAAAAACGTAGAGATGAAGATTTAGACTACTTTGATAGTCCTCATCACAGATCAAAAACGTAAGTTTACTCCCTTTGTTTTGACACAGAAAGGTTATTATATATTGTTCGTGTACCTTGTTTTTCTTAAAGAGAATTTGTGTTTTGAAAAAAGAAAATACTTAATGTTCATTTAGACTCATGAATATATGACATCCACACGGGGGAGGGAGTGACAGAAAATTTGACTTGTTACACATCTAAATACTTACAAAAACTCAAAAATCTAAAAATTACTGTGATGTAGTTTGTTCTTGGGTAGCAAAAGGCATTACAATTAAGAAGGAAGAAGAATAATACTTATTTGTACCCAAAAAAAATCATTTAACTGGTATGCTAAATTTATACATCAAAATCACCATGCTTGGTTTTCAATTGTAACCTCTCTGCTTTTTTTTTTACGTTAATCCGCTAGCAGGAAATTGTTCACTTGTTATGAATTATTACATCTCGGCTTACCCCCTTTTCCAAACAATGGAAAATCATTTTGACTCTTCAGGATTTAACAGTAAATACTAATAGCAGGGGTGCCACTTTTCCGGGGTACCCCGGATTTCCGGATTCAAGAACCATATTTTTTCCACTTTCTGGATTTGTAAAATTTGAGTTAAAATAATTTCCGCGTTAACAGTTTTAGAAAAATAAATCAAGACTCTTTTAAAATAGTTTTTATCAGCGAGTCTCCAGAGCATTTTTACAGCTTATATACCTTTTAGTAGTTCCCGCATGCGTAGATGGTACCAATTCCACTGCTGTGTAAGCTAGGCTTAAACCAAGTGACGTCATTCATATTACGCCGCTACTTTCGTTTTCTTAACTGACACTAAAACATCATAAAACTTAATCTAAATAGAGAATTTGATAGGAATAAAATTTAGAGTTAGAATGCAGTATACAGGAATTTTTTAGCAGGAAACCATTTTGTGGGACTAAACTAACATTTATAAATGCTGGGATCACACTTAAAGCAGTCTTGTTGAATATTTTGATATCACAGACAATCTTGAATGGGTCAAATACAAAGTTCTGTACTTCTGTCAATCCACCTTTCGTTAAACTGTTTTTGAAATCTTTGAAAATTATGATGATTAGGGTTAGTCTAACCCACCCCTCCTTGTAACTATGGTCACTTGTGTGATCTAACCGTGATCCCAAGTGCATATTTATTGCTTGGCGTGGGGAAAAGTTACATCACAATTCATGCTATGACGTATTAAACAGGCGTACTAAGTCTAAACTATAATGACCTCACTGTGACCCTTAACTGTGCCGGTATCCCCCCTTAAGATTACATAATGTTGGAAACAAAATAATTTCATCCTCATAATAAATATTAATCAATTATTTTAATTATTAACATTTTTGGGGAAGCCTGGAAAATGTCTTTTTTAAAAAATGAGGAATTTCATTGTACGTACCCAGATTATAGGCTTGAGATGGTTCTAAAAACAATTTAAACTCATTCATTACAGGCACAATACTTTAAATATTAATTTTAGTCTGAAGATTTTTACAAAATTAATAATGCCTCTAAAGGACTATGTAGTGGGCATAATATGAGCTAAATGTCTCAAAAAGTAATGAAATAATTTGCGATTTTGTTTTTTAAAACAGTGTGACATTAAGGTTCAGGGTTTTAAAAGTTTCAGATTTTGGTTTCATGATTGGTAATATTAGGGGATTGATTTTCAGGATTCGTTTAAAATTGAGTGGCACATTTTTTGTTTCCCCACTATTTATAATTATAGCATTATTGAACAACTTCCAAAATTTTGTAATACATAGTTTACAAATATTTCATAATTAATCCTTTTTACTGTGATTTAAAATAGCATTCATAATAGTTTTTTGCATAATCTGATAGCAACACTGTTATTTATATCAGATACACTTTATTGAGTTATAAATTTAAAGTGGAAGCAAAATTACACAAGAAATTTTTTTGACTGAACAGTAAATTGTACGCAATGCCATGTAAAAATGCAAGGTTTTTTTTTTTAGATATCACAGTTTAAAACCTAACTTCTATCTGTACATACTATCTACATCTCAGGTACATCTTCTCTTTCCAAGTTTCTTGCTCCTGTTTTTAATTTTTTAATTAAACATACACAGGGGTGATCTTGTATTTATAAAAAAACGCATCCCACATGTCTTTCCAAACCATTTTACAAGAAAATATTTTAACAAATTAAAAAATTGCTGCCCAAATATACAATTGTTACTGTCATATGATTCCTCCCCTCGGAGGAACCAAAGTAATTATACAGGGTCACTTTTACCCTAAAATCCTTTCTAAAAAATAAATGGGTCATAAATGTGGACATATAAAGCCATAAGTAATTTTATTCTATTATGCTGACTAAACTTTTTAAAAAACTAATTCATAATATGTTTGTGCTTTTCTCTTTTGGTGTTGAAAATAAATAAAAATTGTGCTAAAAATTAGTATATTCAAGCAAGCCTGAATCTAAACAGGAAGCTTTTTTCTTTCTTAAGTTAAAACCGTTTAGAAATACTAATTCATAGTTCCTAATTGTAGAAAACATTTGTTATCAGGCTTAACTAAAAGTTTTGTTTACTTAGTCATGTGATTATCGATTGCTTGGTGTTGGCTTGTTTGTTGTATGAATTGTTTAATTTTTTTCTTTTGAGTAGCAATGAACATAAGACCAGACATAGAAGACATTATGACGACCACCACCACTCTCCATCCTACAGTGTTAACAACAACAACAGCACAACCACCACAGTATGCAGCCACCATCACCATCGAGATCACTACCAGGAGGCTGAAGCGCAGGACTACACAGAGAGTGGTGGCCACCATCGACACTCTGGGAGCAGGAGACGGCACAGGCGGAGACGCCACCACCGACACTCCTCCTACTCCTCAAAGCGGGTGAGTTTCCCTTGTTTGCTCATTTGGGTGCTCAGCTGGCACTCTTGTACAGCTCCCCTACCTTCATTATCTCTACCATATTGTTATTTTTGAGGCTCTGTGACATTCACTTTAGTAACTAAACTAGTAGCTTACCCTTGAAGTGTTTCAAGACCTAAGGTAAGATAGACTGTTGGCATTCTGTAAAAGGCCAAGATTTCCCTTTTTGAAAGGGGTCAACAAATTTGGTTAGTTCTTTATCTGGAATACTAGAAAGTAAAGGATACCCCAGTAAGTTGTGGAGTGTCTTTGCCTGCTCCCCCTACCTCCCAGTGGGTTTGTTTCTTTAGATTTGTTTCAGATTGGTGGAGGACTGGTGAGTACACACACAATGTTGTTTTAACTGTTTTAATGCCAGTCACATCATGTTTTTTTTTTTCATTTGGATGCAAACAGCTGTTATGAGTGCCTGTCAGTTAATCAGATATTTAATTTTTATCTGGGAGCTGTGAATGGTTTTGATCAGAGTGATGGATTAAGTTGCAGGGTTTATTTAAAAAGATTTTTAGTTGGCAGGTTAATCATACTTTACAACTTTAACAACTCAAAATTAACTGACCACTTCTTGTGCAAAGGTAACCTCTATTCCAGGAAACATAACTGCTACTGTACTTTCTACATTATATTCATGGGTTACCTCCCCGAAAATTAGGTCTGTGTGTGGGACGTACTTTAAACAAGAACTTTTTTTTTGTTTTTGTTCAATCTATGTTGAAATGTCAAACAAAATCTTCTAGTTTAGGAAAGTAAAAGATTTCATGTCTGTATGCATTAACTAGTTTATACAATTAGTTGTTTACCTTGCTTTTCCCACCACACAAAAATATAAGCTGCAGCCTACATCTCACATAGCTACGGCTAAACGTTTGTACATGTGTAGCTTTACCTCATCCACCTAGTCAGACAAGATAAGACTTAAACTTGCCTTAGATAAGCTTTCAGGTGATTTTAATGACCAATGCAAGGCTGGGGCCTTGATGTAGAAGTTGGTACACCACGCTATGTTACACCTGGTTTCCTTCCAAACAAGTCTAAAAATATCACCGGTTTCTCATCTTTCACCTGTGTTCCCAGCCTACGGACTGTAGCTGACGTATACCAGCATGCCTAACTACTTCAACAATTTTTTTTAAACACTACACCTACTGGTTCGTCATGGATGCCAAGTCCTTTTTCTTACAAAAAAAAATGTTTGAACAATGTATGTTGTTGCCAGCCAGACTTCTACAGTTAATACTTATTTCTGAAATATTCATTTTAAAAACTGGAACCCCCCCCCTCTCTCCCACCTTCCCACGGTCAAGTCTACCCCACCTCCCCGCCTCTAGTGGCGTGTTGTTTACCTGCTAGCCAAGCATGGAATGTTGTGGGAATAAACTTATTATTAAGGCACCTGTGACACACAGCAGCATGCTCGTTAGTTGGACCAAATGTTCCCCTGGAAACAATGATATAGTTTCAGATAATTACCCTTGGAGATTCCTTAGCTTATCCTTCAAAGAAAATATTTTATCTCTTATGTGATATTTAATGATGGCAAAAATACAAATGATTTATTGCAAAACGAAAACGTATTTAGTTTAATGTCAGGCATTGGTATAGTTAATATCACGGCTGTACGCTATTAATCGGTTATTTAAGATCAAATATTATTGGGAAAGAGGGTGATTTTAATGTCTTATTTGACTTTGTCTTGTTTACTAATCTTTAAAAAACCAATGGCTGGATTTTCCGCAGTTTAAAGTACGAGCTCAAAATGCTGTTAACGTCATCGCTTGTCTAGGTTAAAATCTCAAGTCGTAGAACGGTAGAGCGCGTAGACCCTAAAATAACTTAAGGCATCATTTCTAGTCGGGGCCGGCCTAGCCTAGATTGCTTGATGCTTGAGTATAAATATAGCTACTTGCTTCTACCTTCCACCCCTTCCCAGCCAAGTTTCCTGCGATGTGTAGTCTGTGTGCTGCACGTGCGATAAGTGCGTGTGTGACTACACCCAGGTCAGGTAACTGCAGTTTCAAAGGCGTAACTAAGCCTGCATGGCCTGAAAAAGTTTTGTCGGCTCTAAATTTTAGTTGAATTAAAAAGTTTATTTTCAGTGTTAGGGAAAGAAATATTCAGTTACATAAAACATAATTGTAACTAGTACTATCAGTTATGTCCTTGAATTTAATAACTTTGTTGGGTACACAATTCAGTTCGTCGCTATTAGTCCTCTTGTCACCAACCAACACATCTTCGTATTTATAAACACTAGGTAGTCAACATTTAATTCTACTTTGTGGAGGTCTTGATATGCAGCGTTATTATTAAACTCAGGTTCTTGTTTTTTAAATAGTAAAAATAGAATATTAGTGTTTAGTAAGAATAATTGCTTTCTATGGCTGAACAGATCTGTGGTCCGGGAATTATTAGTGTATCGTTCTTTCGTCTACACCAAAGGAACCCAGCGCAGATCATCTTAAACTGGTATCATCTTAACCTTGTACGGTTTCGTTGAAAGTAATAGTTCCGCGACCAGTTTCACAGTACAGTATCGTTGAGTTGTTTTTTCTGCCGTTACAAGTTTGGATTAGGATGTCGATACTTTGAAAATCCTGGCCAGGTTACCACCTACTAGCGTTATATTGCAAGTCACACTTTTTTGCTCTAGTCTTTCAAATAACCGAACAAAAACGAGATTCCAATGGATAGACTTGATGGTCGAGTTGTTGTTGTGTAGAGGCCCCCACACCGAGACACGCCTATGGCAGCATCGCGTTTTGCGCATCCTCTCTCCCTGAGCGTGTAATGACATTGTTGTTAGCAGAGTTGCAGGAGCTCGCAGCCACGGGAGCCAGCGCCGCTGTTTGACTGGGTCTTGCTGGCTTGCCGCTCTAGAAATAGAACGGCACAGACTGGGTTTTGATTCTGTGCCTTGGAGGATTCCACCGCCGGCTGTCTTCCCAACCTTTTCAACTGCTGGGCTGTAGCCATCTTGCTCCAGTGGTGTGAAAAGTGATGAGAGTGGATGGGCGTAGGGTGACAGGGGGCGCCAGAGAATGGAAGAAGATGCCTGCCTATAACTATAGCTCTAGATATGCCCTTAACGGCGACAAGGTATACTCCAGGGTCATTGGGGACGGTCATCATCGATTGAGTTTATAGTGCCGATTGTCGCCAGTGTGGAACCTGTGCAATTAGTTCTTGTACATTGGAATACTTTGTCAACATTCTCTTGGGAATTCTTAGCTTGGAATCTTTACTGTTGGATACATTGTTTTTCCATGTTGTATATTAGTGAGGAAGTGCCCGTTCTATCGATGTGTGATGCCAGATTTGTGAGCTCACCTTTGGTCCAATGGATATAGCCATGGTGGTCCATCCATCCGTGCGTCGAGATTATTTATCTTTGCACTTGCCTAGTCTTTTTGGCATGCTTTTCTTATGTTTTCTGCGTTTTGTTCTTCTTTTATTTCTTTGTAGTGATTCATGCTCTTTTAGATTTACTTTCAAATCACGGCAATAGTGACTTACGTCACTTCATACTTTGTTATCTGGGTTTTGTTTTATTTATTTTTTCTCTAGTTATACTAACGTTTTCATCATTAGGTTTGATCTTGTCTTTTGGGTTTCTGCATGTTATAAGGTGTAGACGAGTCCAGATCACCCTTTTCTTTTAAAACCTTAACAGTGGTACATTCCTCAAACAGCCCTGTCTCTAAATGATATATTAATGTGTATAAACATTATAGTCCAATGGAAATCTTGTTTTATCACAAAGTTATTTCACAATTTTATTGTAATTAGCACGCAGTCCACCTCGTTTTTATGTATTCTATTTTGCGAGTATGGAAATATTTAATACTGTAGTAGTAAAGTAAAGGTATTTGCCTTCTCTAAGAACGTGGTATATTACTTCATCCCGACCTTCACGTGAATAAATTGCTGTACCCTATAAACCACTGTCTCTGTCTATACAAAATGTGTCTAATGTGTGTATTTGTACACCAATCTGCATAGACCAGTGTTATCGCAGTAAAACCCGCCGCCTACCCTCGTGTAGACCTGCAAACGATGGACGAGTTTGTGTTGTCTGCTCTCGCCCCCAGACGTGATTATGCAAATACAGCAGCACGTGCCGGGCTATATCCAAACATATTAGAAGCTGACAAGTCGTGTAAAATAGAATGTTTGAAATTTGAACCGATAGTAATGCGTCATCAGTTGACTAGACCATATCGTTACATTGCAGCTCCTTTGTCCTCATCAACCACTTCTGGCCTTCTTGGTGTAGCTTAATTTTTTAGTACTTCATCATACATGCCTGTGTGTGTGTGTGTCTCATAACATTTCCTGCGCTTTCTCTCTCTCTCTCATTACTGGCAGTGTGATGCTAAGCGCACGTATTCACAGGCTACAAGTAGCGAATAAGTGCTCATATCCTGTATCATTATTGTAGGCAACGTAGAGAATCTTTGTGACCTTTCCATCATTAGGTTTAATCCAACTCTCGCCCCGACTGGTCCCTCTGCGCATGTCAAGTGACACAACTACTCTGCACGTAGAATAACTCACTGGGGCTGCTTGTAGTAGTACACACTGGATATGCCCTTTGTTTTTGTCACGTGTGAAAATAATTTGTTGTTAAAAAATGATGTACTTTAGTTAACACGTGTTGCCGGGCTAGTCGTAGAGAGATGGGCCGGTACAGTGTCACAGACATGTCACTGTCACACCGACTTGTTGTCGTGTCGGTTTAAACTTTTGGCCCGCAATGGATTTAACTGACTTAACTAGGATTTCAGTATTGGAATGATTCACAGTTACACTTTACATGGTCACGCCAAAGGTTGGATGGTTGCATATTTTTACCTTTGACATAGATCTAAGTGTCGTACTAATTAAATGAGCAGTTGTTTGAAGCATACGACGTGTCATTGAGATGTTTTCATCAGGCTGTTACTCTCATTAGTGTCTCGTACACACGAGCACTGTACTTCAGGGGATACTGGGTTCTCTATAGTGTTTCAACTTTTAGTCTGGAATTTATCTTTCTAACATTAGCATAATAGCACTGGCTGAATGGAACTATTTAATGTGCATTATTTTAGACCATTTGTTGTTAAATCTCTTCAGAAATAGCTCACCATGTGGCCGTAGTCTCGTCGTTCATTATATTCTCAAATACTGGTTACGTTGTTTTTTCATTTAACTGTTTTCATGGGGTTACTCTAGGCTTGGACTATTTAAGGGTTAGGTTTAGTTTGTTTTTCTCATTCCTTGATTACAACCAACGGATTAAAAGTAATGTCGCAAGAAGTCTGAAAACTGTGTGCGCTTAGTAATGTTGTTTAATCACATTATAGAATAGTAATTATCTCGACTAGCTGCCGTGTATCTTTTTCAGACACAGCCGTAATGAGGTATCGCTAAAAAAAATCTACTCGCAAATATACGCTGCCTCGCCATTCTCTTTACTACACGTAGGACCCAGTTAACGTGGGTTCATGTCAACTTGCGGGTTCTACGTGTTGCCGATAGCACTATCTAAGCCTAACTTTCAAGTGGGGCGACTAATGCTAATGCTAGGGTATGTCACCCAACTCAGCAAGTAGGTGTCAGTCCAGATCATGACTAGATCTACAAGTGTCTTGCATTCACGCGCAGCCTCTTGACAGCTGCGCCCGTCAAGTACAGCGTAGGTTGATGCTCCTATTTTTATTTCATAACAATAACGGTCCGCTCGTGCTAGCTTTATACGCTGTCTTCTTCGGGGGTTAATTTTAACGCGCTTTACTTGTAAGGTATGCTTTCTGTTGGGCTGTGCCCATCGCCCACGTAGTACGAACGTGTGGTATTTATTGTAACGTCCAGATGTTTTCAGGGGTCTGGTGGTCACTTGGTCTTCCTGTTTATATTTCTTTAGTGTTAGCGTTTCAATGAGAATTTACGCTCTTGACACGTGGTTTAAGGTTAGTCTTGTGCTCAAGGTCCAACTTTTCACGTCCACGCGCGTCAGTGGTTTTTATGAATTTTATTGGCTAGTTGCATTTGTCTTTTTTTTCTTTTTAGAGATTTATCTTTTTAATCCTAGCCTTAGACTTAAAATTAGTTTTTCATTTCGTTTAGTTTTAGTATTAAATTAGTATTGTTAAAATGTATATTATTTATAAATATATAATTAAAACTAAATGATTTGCCTGCCAAATGAATGCTTTAAAAAGCAAAGTAGTAATTGTTATATCAAGTAGCCATCACTCTGATGTTTGACAGATTGTATTGTCGTGTGTTGTGAGAGATGGCTGTTTGATATGATGCTATGACTTGAAGATGCGTGTAAATGATGCCTCGTAACCCATCATTTGACACGATCTTTACCGTGTGTTGCCTTCCCCTATCTATCTCTGTATGTTCGCGCCTGTCGGGCCTGTCCTGCCATATTTCAATGGCTGCCACTGCTGCATCTCATACCCCTCCAACCCAACACCGCCTGCCCCATCGCTGCATCCACTGACTCGGCTCAACTTACCTGTGCTATTGTCTCACCGGCTCATCACCTGCTGATCATGATGATCCTGATGCTGCTGCTGCGATTGTTGTCGTCAGGACCAAGGAGAGAGTGGAGGGGGAGGAAGAGGAGATGAAAAGTCCATAGAGGATGATGAGGACGGCCATCTCATCTATAGGGCCGGGGACATCCTGCAGGCTCGATGTAATCAAATACCCTATCCTCGTAATGTCATAACTACATGTATTACATGTCTTTCATACAACTTTATTTACTTGTACACAGGGGATCTCAGTTAACTTGTGGAGGGAGGTGGGTGGCCAACACTGACACACAGTTCAGCTAGTAGGGGCCCCTCACAATAACCATGTGTTCAGTTTCCCTTGACATAACATTTAATGGCCCTTGAAAGTGGTTTTTGTTAGGTACAACAGCACACTACACAAACACACTAGAACCTAATTTTTGTGATCTATAAATCTCTTTCATTAAGTACAGGAATTTTTATTTAATAACACTGAGGAGGAAATTGCACTAACAATGGAACATTTTACTTTTAGTTTAAGTCAAGGACGTTTTTGCTGCTAGTTACATACAGGTGGTGTTAAAACATATTGGCTGTAGCTTCCTTATGATATTAAAGTAGCTTGTTCCATTATTTCCTCCTTGATGCTACTACCAAAGTGTGGGGGTTAATTGCTACTTGTGTGTTGTCTTTCAGATGAAATCATCAATACTCTAGGCGAGGGCACCTTTGGCAAGGTTGTTGAGTGCAAGGATATACACAAGTAAGTTGATGACTCTAATTAGCAACCTATTGCCATGAGTAACTGTAAATGTGGTCCTATTTGTCAAGTCTTGGTGGATGTCCAAGCTTCTGTGTGTATTTGTTGGCTGCTATTACAAACTCTTCCTACTTCTACCTGTATTCCTACATCAGCATAATCTTCTATCTTGTCCCCTTGGTCACCCTTAATCCAACCCATCCCATGGTTACTTAGCTCAGTATTTATACCTAGATATTGACTGGTGTAAAAAAAAATTGTCATGTTTTCAAAGAAAAATAAATCTAGTAGCTTGGTAAGGGGAGTGTGGGTATTTCTACCTGTGATTCAGTTGGGGGGGGGGGGGGGGGGGCGGCATGTGGAGGAAGAGAGCTGTTGATTTCTTGCCAAGCTATAAAAAAAAAAGTTGGCCTACCTCAGGCCCTCTCCCTTCTTTTTGTTGCTAGATCTAATTGTTGCTACGCTCTGTGCAGTGGGGGCTGGCTGGTGTGATTGCTCACAGCCTTTCCCCAGGTGAGGTCAGAGGTCAGCTAAATGGGTCAACTGGTTAGAGCATCTTATGATGCAGTCAAGTTTTTCACCTCCCCCACTCTTTAGTGTTTAGTATGAGCTCATGAAAAAGGGTGGTAGACTATATCTAGGGTGTAGGAGGAAATAGTTGTACATTATGAAAGGATTTCTCAGTCTACACAATACACATTAGCCCTTCAGAAGGAAAAAGTTATCTCAATCATTCTTCATCTAGTTAAACATTCCAAAGGTTGCTCATGGCTCTAAGCCAGGCTAAGAATAAGTTCCTGTCTTGTTTCTGTTAGTGCCTCTAGGAAATCCTTCAATGTATTCTTTTCTACAAAAAAGTGAATCCTACATAATGTACATTTTGAATTGAATTCCTTAGACTGTAAGTCAGCTAAGATGTGTGGGCAGAACATGTCAGCAGCAAACATAACATTGGGAAGGGGGAGGGGGGGTATGGAAAGACTGGATGAAACCTTGCTGGCCTCCATCTTTACCTCACATTCCCCTTTTTCCCCCTCCTACCTCCCTCCCCTTCCCCCCCCCCCCCCCCCCCCCCATCAACACAGAGCAGTGTGTTACTCATCAGGCTTGCCACACCAACATAAGTATCTCTCCCTACTGGCTTCAAGTTCAACATTATCTTATCCAGGTTCAAATTACTTTCCCAGTTGTTACCCTTGTGTATGTGTGGTGTTACCTGAAGACTTGGTGGTGTTTTACCATAATTCACCCTCTTCTGTTTAATCATCTATCATCTTATCCTTTGAGTATTTGTATCACAATATTTTTGAATATTCAGCCTATAAAATCCCATAGTCAAATGTTGACTTCAGCTTGCTAGCTCTTACAGTTAACTGTTTAGTACTATGACTTAAGCTTGCTGGATCAGTTATTAACTGTTTAGTACTCTGGCTTAGCTTGCTGGTTCTACAGATTACTGTTTAGTACTCTGACTTAGCTTGCTGTTTGTACAGTTAGCTGTTTAGTACTATGACTTAAGCTTGCTGGTTCTACAGATTACTGTTTAGTACTCTGACTTTAGCTTGTTGGTTCTACAGATTACTGTTTAGTGCTCTGACTTAGCTTGCTGTTTGTGCAGTTAACTGTTTAGTACTCTGACTTTAGCTTGCTGGTTCTACAGATTACTGTTTAGTGCTCTGACTTAGCTTGCTGTTTGTACAGTTAACTGTTTAGTACTCTGACTTTAGCTTGCTGGTTCTACAGATTACTGTTTAGTGCTCTGACTTAGCTTGCTGTTTGTGCAGTTAACTGTTTAGTACTCTGACTTTAGCTTGCTGGTTCTACAGATTACTGTTTAGTGCTCTGACATAGCTTGCTGTTTGTGCAGTTAACTGGTTAGTACTCTGGCTTAGCTTGCTGGTTCTACAGATTACTGTTTAGTGCTCTGACTTAGCTTGCTGTTTGTGCAGTTAACTGTTTAGTACTCTGGCTTAGCTTGCTGGTTCTACAGATTACTGTTTAGTGCTCTGACTTAGCTTGCTGTTTGTACAGTTAACTGTTTAGTACTCTGACTTAAGCTTGCTGGTTCTACAGATTACTGTTTAGTGCTCTGACTTTAGCTTGCTGGTTCTACAGATTACTGTTTAGTACTCTGACTTTAGCTTGCTAGTACTACAGTTAACTGGTCAGTACTCTTACTTTAGCATACTGGTTCTACAGTTAACTTACTGAATCACATTCTCAGATGGTCATCACTTAACACTGCATGCCAGAAACTCTCTGCACACAATTAATTACCAAATTTTTTTTCTTCAGCTGGAGGATACAGCATGTGTTTCTAATTTCTTCCCTTCCTTTTAAATTGCTACATTAAATGTATGTTGTAGATTGATTACTCAATAGTCCCAAGTAAGAAAGTTGGGGATAAGAGTGGTAGTTGAAAAAGATGAATCACTCTCTACATGTGGAAATTAAAAATACGCCTAAACTCAGAAGTTACACTGAGAAATAAACAATTGTAGTTTTGAGCAAAGAACAAACAAAAAGAAATTAATAGGAAAATAGATGAATATTGTACCAAAATTAAGATTATCAGTGCTGCTAAAGGGGGAGTATTGAAACATGTAGCAGGCAGTTGGATATAGATATTGTTAAGAGATAGCTGAGTTGGATTGGAGTGTAGAATAGCTAGGGTATAGTAGAGGTCAGTGGAGTTAGATTAAAAATTAACTGGAGTTGTGTATATTATAAATAAACTTGGATTTGTGGCAGTTATAAATTCCCACTGAAGAAATTCATCAGGCACTACAGATGAGTTAACTATCCCCCATCTATACACAACACAGAGTATTTATAAAAACATCAACACAACTTCATATATGGTCTGTTCATTTAATGCACTACATTTATTATATGGTCTATACACTTAAGCCTGTTTTGTTTTTCCCTTCCTGTTTATGTTTAAGCAATATTGCTTGTTTCTATAGGGGCTGTGATCGACTAGCATTGAAGATCATAAAAAATGTTGAGAAATACAGAGAAGCAGCCAAGCTGGAAATCAATGTCTTGGAGAAACTCAGGGAACGTGATCCTCAAGGCAAATAGTGAGTAGCATCTATTGCTGTCTAGTATTTTAAATGTACTAAATCTTAAACAGTATTTAAATGGAGCCAAGGTGTTTGTGCAGTGGATATAGTGGCATATTTTATTGTATTATAAAGCTGTCTGGATAAGAGATGCTTGCTGTCCTATCATTGAAATAATAGACATTGCAATAAACCTTTTTTTTTTTCTATGACAGTTTATGTGTTCAGATGCTGGATTGGTTTGACTACCATGGTCACATGTGTATTGCTTTTGACATGCTTGGTCTCAGTGTCTTTGATTTTCTTGTAAGTAGTATATTTTATCATTCTAATTATCTGATATTTACAGCTGGATGTAGGTAAATATTTTGATTTATTCATCATTCTCTTTGAAAAACTTTTTGAAAGCTATTTTTTCTGTTGCAATTGTTAAAATAAAAATGTGTAAATTTTTAACAGAAAGAAAACAATTATGTCCCTTATACACTGGAACAAGTCAGACACATATCATATCAGCTGTGTTATGCTGTTAACTGTAAGTAATGTTATTTGATTTTCACACTTTTGATCTTTAGGTAAAGCATTAGTTGTACAAATTTGTAATACAAATCTTTTTTTTTTCAGTCCTTCATGAAAACCAGCTAACACACACAGATCTAAAGCCAGAGAATATACTTTTTGTCAATTCTGATTTTGACACTTATTTCAATCCCAAAAAGGTAGTTGCATGTTCTTATTTGCTCTTGTCTTCTGCTGCATGTTTTTACTGGTATATTTTTTTTTCATTAACTTTATCCAGACAACAATACCCTACTGAATTAAATTGATGGGGTTTTTTAAAATTCCTTTTTTCTACAATTTCTGTAATTTTTTAAGTAATTTGCATTCATTTTGGTTTGTTTTACAAAGTAGCATTGCTATGTGCATGAGTTTGTGGGTTGTTAGATAAATGAGTAAATGTTTGTGTTTGAGGCATGAAGTTGGTTAGTGTTTAAAAAAAAGTCTTGGATATCTAGACAATCTAAACTTTTCTAAGTCAAGTGTATACATTTTTCTCTTATTGTTCATGTAAATCAACTAATCAGAAAAAAAAATCTTTAAAGAAATAAAACGGCATTTTAAAAAATATTGAAAAATTATAGTGTATTAAAACTTCTGTACAGGTTATGCATGTTTGTTCACAAGCTGTGTTATGGAGCATGTTTGTTTAAGGGTTCATACAGCTAAAAATAATGCAGAAATCATGAACATGGCTTAACATTTCAGCCTTTTTTCTTATTTTTCCCATGAATTGGATTAATATTTCAGTCGATTGCAAGCTAATTTAATGAGTTGGATGTTAAAAATGAAAGATAGAAGTAGAATGCTATTTGTAAGACAGGCCACTAGAGTGTTTTTTTAATGTGATCCAAGTCATTGCACTGGCGAATAGTGCAGCTGCCAAATGGTGTAATGGGATGTCAGAGCTTGACATTTCTTGGTGCATGCTATCCAGTCACGTAGAGCTCATAGCACCCTTTCTTACTTTCAGTCTCCCTTTGAGTTTGCTGGGAATGTTCGCACCAGATTATCTGTAAGTTGGTTTACCTCATTACTGAACCTCACGCCTAAGTTCCATTTTACTTTTTGCAAATAAGTGCATATATTCTGCAAACAATTTTGTAGTGTATTTCCACAAGTTTTGCAGCAGCTAAAATTGTGAGCTGGTTGGATGATTTTATTTTTGGCTCTATGAACCCTCTCTTTGTTTGCTTCATTGCTTGTGTTCAGTCTGTGGTTGTGTTTTTTGGTTTTCTGCTACCTCTTGAGTTGGTGTGATTTCTCTTGTACTTGGAATATCTAGATTAAGATTTGTTCTTACTCTTTCAGAAAAGGGATGAGAGGCGAATAAAAAACACTGATATAAAACTGATTGACTTTGGTTCAGCCACTTTTGACCATGAACACCACAGCACCATTGTATCTACTAGACATTACAGAGCACCAGAGGTCATTTTAGGTAAGGTATTAACATAGGTGGTAATGTGTGTAAAAGGTTGAATCTCATGTGTTTGACGTTTTTTCTAGTTGGTTTGTTGCCTTGGGCTTCCTAACTTGTATTTGCTTGTGTTTTATCTCCAGAGCTTGGCTGGGCACAGCCATGTGATGTATGGAGTATTGGGTGCATCATGTTTGAGCTGTATACCGGCTACACACTCTTCCAGGTAAATGGATTTCTGGTAGCTACAAAGTGATTCTTTTTTATTACATTGTTATGCCTTTTTTTTTTTTAAATGTATTTAAATTCATCATAGGCAAGTGTTTTTTTTTTAATTCAGGTTAACTTCTGTGCTATTTTTATGAAAATTGTGTGAATCCACTAAAAATGTCAGAATGTTCCGTAAATTTTTTTCTCATACTTTCTGCGTTGTTTTTTTCAGACTCATGATAACAAGGAACATTTAGCCATGATGGAAAGAATACTTGGCTCAATGCCTTATAGGATGACTAAAAAGACCAAGTGAGTCATTTGTTTAGTCGTTTATTTTTATTTTTTTACAGTTCTTCATTGCATACAGATAATGATGAAATTCCAGTGATTGAATTAGAATCATCCTTTATGTTCAGACAGACATTCATACATTGTGGTATTTAATGTTTCATGACATTGATAACATTTCTCTCCTGGCTACCATGTGATCTGGTTAACTTCATCACTCATGTATCATTGTGTATCTGGGTTGTTCATGCTATGGTCAGTCACATGTTCCTACTTTGCCTGGTCTTTAATTCTATGAACTGTATGTACACCAACCAACTATAGAACCAACTACTTCTGGCATGGCCGTCTGGACTGGGACCCTACAACTTCTTCTGGCCGTTATGTTAGGGAGAACTGCAAACCCCTTTATGTGAGTACGCTGGTGCACATGCGCCATGCGTTGTGACATTCTACTATGGATATCACTTCTTTAGCCTGTGCATGCATGAACTTAGTGCTGAAAATTCTTCTTTGATCAGCATTTGTATAAACACGTCCAACATTGACTAATTGTTTATGTGCTAGCCTTATTTGTCATGGTCTGGGGTTTCAAATTAAGCTCACTTTGTCTTGAGGGGAATACAAGTTCAATGGCCATGACATTATTAGATGTGCTGCATTGTAGGAGTTTCTAGCATGTGCTTCTATATGTTATAAACTTATGTTGTCTCTAGTCCACACGTAAAGGGTTTGGTTGACTTATTGTTGGTTTTTGTGGACTAAAGGCTACATTAGCTAATGCTATTGTTATTTGCATGCTGGCTAACCTTTTTTTGTTAGACACAGTTAGATGGCGGGGCATCAACAAGGGCAGCTGATCAACATTTTGACATCGTCATATAGAATAGAGAAAAGCAATTAGCACATTTTTATGCTTATTCCATTCAAAGCACTTTATGTTTACTTTTTTTATAATTTGGACAGTTGTGTTCCAGATGATCTAAAATATGTGGTTGTTGCTTTTCTTGTTCTAGGAGTTATTGTTGCATTGTATTATTGTTTGACTCTGCATGTTATCTAGGCACATTTTCTCAGTTTGTTTGTTCTTTTCATCCCCAATTATTTTTGCTGCATTGCCCTTTGCCTGTGTTGCTGTTACTTGCCACCACCACCACATGAACTGCTACCTGCGGTTTGGTTGTCTGCGTGCTTGGGTGCTTGTGTGTGTAAAGGAAGCAGAAATACTTCTACCGAGGTTGCCTTGACTGGGATGAGAAATCTTCAGCTGGAAGATACGTAAGAGATACCTGTAAACCACTGCGGGTAAGATGCGGTCCTGTACTTAAATTATGTTGACTGGAACCACTGAACCAATTGATCCTTCTTTAATCAAAGGGGTTTATTTAGTCACTACAATTATAAAAGGGATGAAGCACTGTTGGCAACATGCTTTTAACAATGTAAGTTTGTGCATGTGCAAGTTTCTATAACTGGGATGAAAGTTATGTTTGTAAGACAATTCTGTTTGCTGTGAAGTGTAAAAATTAAGGTAAGTACTGTCTTGTCTTACCGAAACAAAAGCAGCTTTTTCTTATAGATCCCTTTCTTTATAAAAATGGAGCACAATCACCATATCATATTTTATTTGTTTAGTCCTTTTGTTTTTATTTTGTAGAAAGTTTGTTAGTTTCTTATCAGTTAGTAATGTGCATGATAATCATTTTAAACTGCCCCATGATTTTGACACACACAAAAGTGGAAATTTTCATTGACACATTTCCTTTAATATCATTGTCCAATGTATTTGTATTTATTAATAAGTTTTGAATTTAAAATTTTATGTAAATTCAATGAAAACTGTACCAAGAATATAAGAGTTCAAATTTTTATAGTTTGAAACATTATAGCATGTGAGAATTTGTTAATATCATAACTCATTTTTTGTTGTGATCACATTTTAATCATTAGGTGTGCTTGTATGGATGCATCTTGCCATTTGTACTGATCCTTTCATCAATAAGTTAAATAGTTGATTCATTTAGTTTTTTATTTTAAAATGCATTAAGTTATAGTTTAAGAAATAAGTTGTATTTTGTAAATTTTTAAACTTATTAAAAGTATTGTAACAGTCAACTTTTTTAGTTAAAAAAAAAATCTTAAATATTTTTCTGAGCCCAAATTTGCATTTGGCGTTGGAGATTGATGGGGAAATGCTAGCCAGTAAAGTGCAGGGGGTTTAATGTAGTGTACATCCTATCTCTCCTCAGCACTATTTGAAAGACAAAGGACAGGAACACATTCAAATCCTTGAAGTTATAGAACAAATGTTGGAATATGTCCCAGAAAATCGGGTGACGCTGAAAGAAGCCCTCCGACATGGTTTCTTTGAGTCTATCCGACACAAAGAGAGAGAGAACACTTTGATGAGTGTACCTCGGGATTCCCTGTCTGCTAACTCTAGTAGTACTAACTTGAATGAGCTTGCTAGTAATGATACCTCTGTTGTGCCTGATGGTCTGTCCTCTACTAATCCTGAGAATTTAGCTAGTTCTAGGTTGGGGGAAGGGGAAGGAAATGCTGCAGCAAAGCGGGAAACAAATGCAGGCACAATCTCCAGCAGTCCTGTGTCCATGTTCAAGAAGAAAGAGGAAGTGGATGGAGAATCTTTTGGGCTTGCTGTAGCTGATATCAAACGCAGAAGGTTCAATAAACTGAGTAGACATCACACAATGGAGGATGCCACTGACATGAGTGAGTTCCAAGAGATGGGCACTGCTCTAGATTCCATATCAGCTAAGGATAAGATGGCAGGTGGCACGAAGCAGGATGATGCCAGTTCAACAAACCGTAGACGTACATCTCGTCTTGAAGCCATGAAACATGCTAAAACTATGGACATGAGTGATCTGAACCAGAATGACTTTGAACCTGAGGAAGAACCAAAAAGTGTACTTGACAGACCAATCCCACGTCAGAGAACTGAATCTAAAGGTGAGGCGCCAGTCACAGCCAGACGACGCAGAAGAGAAAAACAGTTTAGAGAAAAGACTCCTCCAGTTGGACAAAAGCCTTCAGAGAGCTCTTTTGATGATGAAGTTTTTGACAACTCACTTTCAATGAAGGTTGGAGATGTGACTAGTTCAATGCTAAATCCAAGTGCGTCGGAGTTTGTTCCAAAGACTGGCTATGTCCGTCGGCCGCCTTATGAAATAGCTGAGATGGAAAAGCAGAGAGATGCGAAGCTGCAAGAAAAAGTCAATGCAGAAAAAGCTGTCCAGAAGTCTCTAACCTTGTCAGACATGAAATTTCCTAGTAGAGATGAGAAAACAACTCAGGAGACCCAGACTTTAGTGGACCGTGTCACTCGCATATTCTTAGAGAAGAGCACTCAGACACCTGACAACTTCTATCCCCCCATACCAACTCAGGACAAGGCCATTGATGCCAACCAGTTTTCTGATGGCACTACATCTGTCAGCAGTGCCTGGTCTTTCGACTCTGTAGCAGATCTCAGCTTAGATTTAGAAGACACTCAGGAAAGTGTTTCAACAAATGCATCATCTGTTACTCCAGTTCCATCTGAAGGTGCCACTACAGTTTCTGTTGTACTACAAAATCAAGGCATTAGTATGAATAACAAAAGTGTGTCATCCTCCCTACAGCCTACAGCTCCTCTACCACAAGTACCAAGCCAGCCAGTGCCAGTCACCCTTCCAATGTCAGCTCCAGTATCAGAAAAGAACTTGGCTCACCAGCACTCTCTGGGCAGTAACATGCCTGTTCAGCCTGCTGCCCCATTAAAGCAACAATTTAGTTTAGACAGTGGAAACTTCATTGTTTTGGAGAGTCCTGTTGTAACATTGCCAGTGGCCAAGCTACCTCTACCTGTTAGGGCTGCTGCTAACCCTACAGCCCCTGCGGTAGTGATTCCCCAAGGACAAATGGTTTCAGCCCCACCCCAACAAACAATTCGGCTCCCACCAGCACCATCACAGTCAGCGCCAATACATGCACCAGCTCCTGCTGTTAGTCAGCTGGTAGCACCTGCTGGAAATCAGTTACAAGAAGGAGTTATAGCCAATTTTGTCCAGCCTGTGCCGCCCTACACTAACCAGGTTTGGAGTGAGAGCCAAGGCATGGAGTCTGGAAATGAGGTGGTGTTGCCAAAGTTAGAGAAGGCTCGTGCCAGGAGGCGGCGTCGAATGGATAGAAAGAAAAAAGTGGATGGGGAAGGCTCTGGGTCAGATGTTCAAAATGAAAATGTTCCTTTGGGTGCAGTGGCTGACTCCCCTCAGATTCCTGCCAAGCCCAAAGCTCCGGATGAAAAAAAAAAAATCCACCAGCTAAACAATGTGAATGCCAGTGAGAACCAGATGCCCAGCTCTCCAGTGGACAACCTGAGGAAACACAGCCAAGAGAGCAATGGCTCTGATGTGTTTGTCCTTGCCTCAGACAAACTGGAGACAACTGATAGATGATTGGGTTATATTCAAGCTACTTATGTACAGTACTCCCCCTTTATTTGGAACTTATCATCCCCCTAAGAAATGTGATCTGCGCTTCTTAAATCATTCTTGTACATACACTAACCTCCTGATTTGATGTGTTTTTTTTTTTTTAATCCATATTATCTGCTGATTATGAATGTGGTTTTATTTAAAGGCTTCTTGTATTGTACAGTTTAGTTTAGTATGTCATGTTTTTGCAGTTAGTTTTTTTTTTTACTGTTTAATATTTTTTTAAGAGCGGTTGAAATGTTTTATTATATGAAACATTAAAAAGTAAAATGTTAATTTCTATTTAAATATTCCTCATTTTCCCTCAGTCTAAAAGAAAATGTAATTATCTTAAAATTGTTGTAAACTGATGGTCCCCCCTAACAGTGTTTAATATTTACTGGAAGTCATTGAAGTATGTGCAATTTATTTATTGGCCCATAATTGTGATGATGGTTCTATGGCTAGTGAGTCTTCTGTGAAGGCTTTTTCTTTTTATGTGATAATATTTGGTAGAGTTGTGTGTTTGAAAGGTGTGGTCTTATTTAGTTGTCAACCTGTAGTCTTTGCATCCTTCCATTGGCTGACAGCATGTATGCTGCTCTGTTTTTCACTAACCATGCTAGATCTGTCACTAAAGTTACTAAAAAAAATAGTGTAACAAAGTCGGAAGGCTTCATAGCAACAGCATACCCTTTTTTGTCTAACTTTCGAAAGACAAAATGGCCCTAAAAGTGCTTAAGTTGGCTCTGTCCCCACCTTCCCCTGCAACTAGACCATGATATTGCTGTTGGTACTTAGAGTAAATGTTCGGCAAAGGAGGGGTCAGAGAAAAACATGGAGGTAAGAAACAGCTGTTTGAGCACATTCCAACTTGCTTGATGTTAGATGGTATCTACCCTACAGCATGGCAGTCAACACTTTCTGCTTATGTGTCAGCTTTACATGTGCACTAACACTGCTTGTGTGTGCTCATTAGTTTGTTGGCCTAGTTGTAGTGTAGTCTTTAATTATTGTTTATCACATTTTTGGATTTATTGCATGCTGCTGAGTATTCTTTAGATAAAAGTTTTTAATCGTGGAATGGTTATAAAATGTTTATTAGAAGGCAAAACATGTTGTTTGAAAAATGTCCTCATTAAATCTTAAATATTAACCAGAAAAGGAATATCTACTTAGATAAATACTAACAGAATAGTTCCCTCTTTTCTTACGTATATTCAGTGGTTCCAGTTAATTTTAGTCTTAGGTAAAGTCAATGTTGCATTAAATATTTTAATTGACCTGATACATGGCCAAAAAAAATACATTGTTTTGGTTAATGCATGTGATTGTAGTTTTAGCTAGCACTTCTTTTGACAAAACATTTTCTGATAAACCATTTTTTCGTTTAGCGCTACTTAAAAGATCCTGATGATGAAGACCATATGCAGTTGTTTGAACTCATCTCCAAGCTCCTGACCTATGAGCCATCACAGCGCTACACACTTCGACAAGCCATGCGCCACGACTTCTTCTTGCCATATCAGCGGGACTCTTACAGGCACGATGATGACCCACGCTCTGACTCTGCTTCTGACCGCTGCCGGTCTCATAGCTTGAGCCGGTGACGGTGCGACGCCCAGCTCAACTCTGACAATGTTCCCTCCTCCTCCAGAATTGATCCCTCCCCCTACCAGGGTCATGACAGCGGCTACCCACAGTATAACGAACAAAGCCTGGAATATGATCACCACTACCATGCTGGTAGAGCTAATGACAATGCTAGTAGCAGCTACTATGATGGAAACAACCGCAACAACCAAGACTACTACAGCAACAACCTAGCCAACCGCGGCCAAGCTTACCACCACGGCCACTCATCTGGCAATGGTGAGAGAGACTACTACCAGCAGCTGTACTCCTACAACACAGCCCCACACAACCCCGGCTACGCCAGGGCTAACCTGCATCACAGTGGGGGCCATGATCAACAACAGCACAACTATTCATATAGCCAACAGGGCAGCTACTGGTTATAACACTAGCCCCATACATTAGAACACTAGTGCCCTTACATCACACTCCCCTGAATGACATCCCTAAATCAAGTGGCATGATTGTCATGACTTTAGTTGGTGAGCTAACACTGGAAATGGGTAGGCTGGTAAAATTAAGGCAAATTTTTTGTTCTGGCTGTTGTAATATGAAGCTTTAAAAAATATTGAGCCAAAATGGAGGAAAACTGAACATTGTCTTGTACCAAGTTGTTCTGGGCAAGATTTTCTCTGAAGTGCGACACATGCATTTCTTATCCCTGTATTTAGTGTGCAAGTGGGAGGTTTTTTTTTGTTGGGTTTTTTTTTTGGCTTGTTTGCTTATTTTTGTTTTGATAATTGACAATGAGTGACAGTTGCTTTTTTTTTTTTTGATAATTGACAATGAGAGACAGTCAGAATGTTCTGGTGTCAAAGACTATTTGTAGCAGTTGTATGTCAGTAAGATATTTACACCTTGTTTTGTAACTTAAGTTTTTTGTTCTTGGAACTATTTGACACCCAACTGATCTAATTGCTAGTGTTTGTGAAACGTATTTAACTCCGCTACCTTTGTATTCAAGCTGTAGCCCAGATGTTAGCACATGCCTGAAATGTAAACACGAGTTAGCACTGTAGTCTTGTGTAGCATCTACTCTAGAGAATTGTATGGACTTTATCATGTATGGCAGTTTCTTGTTTGCATACCTCATTCATTTTTTTACCCCTTGGCTAATTACTGTATTGTTTTTTTTTTGTTTCATGTAATTCATAGAGTCGAATAGAGGGGAAGTGAGATAGATTAGCAGCATTTTGTTAATACTTGAGTTAGTTATTTGGCTGAAACCAAATTGTTCTGGCATTGATGTTTTGTCAATCACTGGATAGGGCCATCAGCAGGACAGTTGTGTGCTGCACGCTAATTAATGATTAACAGAGTTTGACTGTATCTACTATCCTAGTCTTTAAATGATAGAGTTTGTAATTGGATATATTCTTTCTAATATAATGTCCATTTTTCTCTTGAGTGTAAATAAATCAAATTTGTGAATTCATAATTTCGGTGTTGGTTAAATTTATAAGATGGGATTGATGGCTCATTTCATGAAAAGAACAAACAAATAGAATGTAATGAAGATACTACTTCACCGCTATGGTGGGTAAACTCTTTTTTTTTTAAACTGATAGAAAACATCTTGGATCTTTATTTACATAGACACAAATATCAAGGTTACATGGGTAGTTACAAGGTTTTGAAAATGTATTTATCTGTAAAATATTTAAGTATTGGGGGGGGGGGGGAGGGGGGTGTTATTACTGTTGAAACTTCTAGTTGAAGAATTCACTTTAAGCCCAGCATGTAGGCCACTGCTATGATTTGGTACATCAAGACAAGTCAGTGTAAGCGCGCATATATCATTCAATTAAACTTAAAAAATAACTTCCTTTTAATAAAAGTAATAACAGGAAACAAATGATTTTGATTATCAAGTCTTAGAATAAACCGTTATATATGGACCAGAATCTTAAGTCTCCACGTGTAGTTCCTTGACGCACTGGACCACGGCCTTCTTGGATCCTGGTGTGTTCTGCAGGTAAGCGAAGTAGGCGCTGGTCATGTTCTTACGGTTGATGGGGTGGACCTGGTCCAGTTTGTCCAGTTCCATGGCGTAGAAGTCGGACTGGGTTCTCTTGTAATCCTCCTCTATCTTGCTTTTGGCGTTGGAGCTGTACTTGGTCCTGAGTTCCACCCTAATGGAAGCAACACGATTTGTACAATTCTTTAAACTTCCTAAATTTATATTTAACTTGTAAAAGTCGATTTGGCACAAGAATTAATTTTCTATCGCACATTTATATTTTTAAAAAGTAGCCAAGTATCAATAAGTAAATACTTGTACCATAAAAGTGACTTTCTTAGAAGTAATAGAAGGCAGTTTAATATTATGAGCAATGTGTTGGACTATTTTAAAATCCCATTTTAAAAAGGACCACGAACGGTTCGCATGTTTGGTGCTAAGACCAAGGGTTCACGTTCTACTAACGAAACCAGTGGCGTAGCCAGGATCGTCTCAAGGGGGGGGGGAAGGGGTCCAATTTTTACCCGGGGACAAACTTTCGATTTGCACCCCCCCCCCCTCAAACTTTCGATTTGCACCCTCCCCCTCAAACTTTCTATTGGCACCCCCACCTCAAACTTTCGATTTGCACCCCCCCCCCTCAAACTTTCGATTTGCACCCCCCTCAAACTTTCTATTTGCACCCCCCCCCATCAAACTTTCGATTTGCACCCCCCCTCATACTTTTTCTATATACCGAGGGGTCTATGGGGGGGTTATGACCCCCCCCCCTAAACCCCCCCCCCTGCCTACGCTACTGAACGAAACATTTTTCAGAGAAAATAGATATTTAATCAGATTTGCAAAAGTTTTGTTTTGAGAGAAGGCGTAGTGCCATCTCTTCACCCCCCCCCCCCACACACACACACCCGCCCCCACCAAGACAAGAGACGCATGAAAGAAACTGACCACATCTTAAGTAGGCATACAAATCATAAAACCACAATGGAACCCACCCAGATGTTTTAGTAAAACTACATAAATAAAATTACCAACGCATGCAATGAAACCTATTATTTGTATTCATGAATTTACATATCAACATACACAGAGGCAATGCGAGGGGGGGGGGGAGGTGCGGACCGCACCGGGTGACACCATTTAGGGGGGTGACGCCAAGGCAAAAAATAGCAAAATATATAGAGAAAAACGTGAGGGGAGGGTGCAAATCGAAAGTTTGAGGGGGGGGGGTGCAAATCGAAAATTTAAAAGTGTCTCCGGGAAGGGTCGCTACGCCTCTGGGGGATGACACCATTAAGTGCCGCACCGGGTGACACCCGACCTCGCTACGCCACTGAACATCCACACATACGCCAAACACTCCTCTCTCTGTAAAACTACTAAACACCGCCAGTACTGACCTTAGCGCAGGCACGTCACTGTAGTACAGGGTCCGGTTGACCAGGTCCTTGGTGTCCATGTGGATGACGGGCAGTTTAGCCAGTCGGATGCTGCCTTCCTTTTTGTTCTGGGCGGCTTTCTGTTTGCGCTCGGTCACCATTTTACTGGTTCGAACAGACACAAAAAGTGATGCAACCCGTGCGGTCGTCAAACTCAGGGGGGGGGGGGGGGGAGAGGAGGGGGGGGGGAATTATTTCAGTGACCCAGCTGGTGGGGGGGTCGTCCATAAATGACGTCACACTTGTTAGGTGAGGGGGGGGTCCGTTATTTTGTGACGGTGTGCGATGAGGGGGAGGGAGGGGGGGGGGGGGTTCAGATGGTGTGACGTCACACTTTTGCATTATAAAAAAGCAATATTAGAAAACGAGTTTTAGCCCTTATTTTGCGCTTTAGAAAACTGTTTTTAATAAATTGTAATAGGAATTGATTAAAATACTCTATGTCGACAGAGTTCAGACAAGATTTTGGAAATTTGGAAAAATATCAATGTTTCAAGAAAAATTCAACTGCAATTTTGAGGGGGGGGGGGTGTAGGCTTAGGTAAGGTGTGACGACATTTAAGGGGGGGGTCTGGCTTTTTGTGACGATGTGTAACGGAGGGGAAGGGGAGGTAAAAATCGTCCAAAAAAAGCGTGACGTCATTTATGGATGACCCCCTGGGAGAATAATATTTCAGGACTCTTGACTTAAACCCCCCAATAAAAACAAACTTTATGAAGTAACCAAGGGAAGTAACCAACTCACTCGTGTTTGACCATCTCCGTGTGTCGGCTGGCTGGCTTGGAGCCCACGATGGGCGGTAACTCCGTGTCCATCTTCAGGTCCATCCAGGGGTCAGTCAGGCCCTGGGCCGTGTGTCGACTTGTGAAGCCGTGGAACTGCTCCTCGGGCTGTAGACCAGATGACAGTGTCATGTCAACAACTTGTGTGTCATGTCAATAACTTCAGTGTCATGTCAACAACTTGTGTGTAGTGTCAACTTCAGTGTCATGTCAACAACTTGAGTGTCATGTTAACAGCTTCAGTGTCATGTCAACAACTTCAATGTCATGTCAACAACTTCAGTGTCATGCCAACTACTTCATTATGTCACTTGCGAGAATACCTTAAGGCTTCTTTACTTAGTAGCTTAGATGTAACTTAAAACCAATGACAAAAACATTGAATATATAAATATTCCGTGATATTTTATACCCCTCCCCGATATACCTATTAATAAAAGCTATTATAGCATAGATACCTTCCCAAACTTGACACGCTCTGAACATAAACATAGATACAAGTCGCGTTCAGGTTAAACAAATGTTTAGCGTACGCGTTCAGGTTAAACAGGTAGCTAACCGACACGTCACAGAACTGGGTTCAAGGTTTAACAAAGCCACTCTTTACAGTATTGCACTTAATTGTGTCGGTGCCTAAATTTTAATTAATTACATTGCCATAGGCTCAGTAATTTCATGTTAGCTACTGTATGCTATAAATAGGGTATTGTGTAGC